GGCATGAGGCGTTAGCATTAAAATAAACACAATGTCAGTCGATCACACTTGCACGCACGCACGCACATCGTACTACATATATGTACATATGTATAAACACATAAATAAGCTTTAACGACTTTTTCTGAGGAAATGTCAATGAGATACCGCCAACAGCTGGGGGCGACAAACAATTGTAAAGTGTCAACTGTACGAGTATTGTCACCTTTGTCTGGCCTCTGTTCTGCAGTTCATGCGCCCAGCTGTCCCAACTGTCCCAACTGTCCGTCTATCCAGCTGCTCTGCGTCTATGATATGACGACCATGGCTATACAGCTGCGGTTGCGGTTTAAGAAATATTTTCTTTAATGACACTCATCCTCATCATTTTTAAAGGCGACAAAATTTTCAAAAAAAGAAAGGAAAATTATTAAAAAAGGAAAAGTATCGAGAAAAAAGTTAGTAAAAAACCGAGCAGTAGCAGGGAAATTGATGCGCATTCGCTGCAATAAATCAAGTTGAGGGCGTTTATGGCAAAATCAACGTGGAAGAAAAAAAGTTGGTTTAAAAAATAAAAGCGCGACGAAATATGTGAATTTTATCATTAAGTACAACAACAATATTCATGACAGCGCCAACGCGGGCGCGTATGCGTCTGGAAAAGTCGTCGAAAAATTATTACAATTACACATTTGACATTGTCACAACAAAATGAGTTACGCGCTGTGCGTTGTTGTCACACTGTTGTTGTTGTTGTTGTTGCTGCTGCTATTATTTACAATTTTTTATTTTAAATGCCGCGTTGTTATTGTTTTGCTGCTCGCGGCGCTCGCTAGCTAGTAATATGCCGCCGCACAGTGGGTCGTGGTGGGTGGTTGATTGTCTGCGCGCCTCGCGTCATTGTCCCTACGCGCGTCAGTATCAGCAACAGCGCCAGCAGCAGCAATTTCGCAACTGTGTGTGTGCGTATGTGCATAGATATGTTGCTCGCCATTGTCATTGTTTGTCAACAGATTTGATTTGCATTGATGAAGGTGCTCGTTGGCGCATTGTTTTGTTTTTTGAATTTAATAAATCTTCGCACTCGCTTTTCAGCCTTATTTATTGTCGTTTATGTGTCATTCAAAAATTCCTTTTTTCTGTTTTTTTTTTTTTGAATTTTATTTTAAAGCTTTTCGTGTTCCTCTTTCTTATTATTTGAGCTCATAATATGCTTTGATTGATGTGACAGTGTAATTAATTTTCGCCACATGTTCTCGCTCAAGCGCAGCGTTTGGGCTGCGTCGGTGGCGGCGGCGGCTGAGCGGCTGGTCGAGCGGTCGAGCGGTTGGCGCGCTAACTGTCCACTGTCGAGGGTTTAAGTGGTTGCTGAGCCTTGTCGGGATGATTGACTTTCTTTACGTTTGTTGTAAAGGTATTTTTTTAATGACAATTTTCACTGTTATTGCATTACATGTATGTGTATATACCTTTGTGTGTATTTAGTGTACTTTTTGCTGCACTTTTATTATTTTATAATTAAAAATGGAACTCGCTACATTTTCCGTCATTTCACTAGACTGGCGGCGCGCATACACCAAACACACACACAGAGAATCACACGCACACCGGTCAGCCTTTAGCGGGCATTTGCATTGTTTTCATGCGTTTGCACTTTTTAATTGCAATTTTTCCGATACTTTGTCACATTATTGCCATTTTTAATGATTTGCTGTTATTTTTGTTGCTGTTGGCAGTCGGCGTTTGCCAGGAAGCGCTCGCCACAATGTTGCATGCTTACAGCAATCCATCAACCGGGCTGATATGTACACACATATATGTAGCATTTCACATTTCGCGCTTCTCACTTTCCTACATATATAGATCCTTCAACCATAATGTATGTAGTAGTTTGTTTCGCTTAAATTGAAAATTATTTTTAACTCCACGCTTCTTCGCAAAAAAAGTCATTCACAGTACATACAAATATGTCATATATCACTTACATATATAATATATACACACATACATTCACGCATTTTCATTCAGTCCCGTTGTTTGATTAATTTTCTTGATTCTCTTGATTTAAGTATACTACTTACGCGCCTGAATGGGTTTATTGCCATCTGAGCGCATAATTTATGAGAGTTTTTGTTGTTTGGCAAAAAGGATAGCGGAAGATTTAATGTTTTTGTGTTTTGAGAAATTATTTGCAAATAAATTAAAACTTAGTATAAACTTTTTCGGTAAATTTTTTGCCTACTTTATTGTGTTAATATCTAACAAAAATGATTTGTTAAAAAACTTTTAAAAGAAAGCTGATAGAAAAATAACATAAAGTTTTTATAAAAACTAGCCGGTGTATACACATATAATTTCTCTTGAACTCTCTAGCTACAATTTTTTGTGAGTCTGTTAAAAAGGCCCAAAATGGTAAATATCAGAAAAATAAAGACGGAAAACTTTTGAGGGATTTTGCTAGGCGACACTGGTAGCGATTTCGAAGAAGAAGAACCAATACCAAAATGTATAGTCACGAATTCGACAACGTTGCCCTCAATCAAGACAAGTTGAGAACTTCAATAATTAGGACTAGAATGTAAGTTACTGTCGAAATTCGACCGTATTTCTATTTTTTAAGAGCCTTGGAGAGGTTTTCTACCTTAGCACCTAGCGAAACTTATAAGGTACAAAGTAACTTACCGGAAAAACTCATGCTTTGTAACTAGAACTTGATCTTTGAAGGTCTTTGGAGGACTTCGGCAGAACTTGCAATTGCCCTAATACATTCCAGTTTATCCACAAATTTCAATATTTGATGATGAATTTCAGAAACATTAAAATCCGATAACTCAACAAAATTGGGTAACTTGAATAATTTCGATAACTGTGAAATTCGAGCGCTCGATAAATTTCGATAACTTAAAAATGTATATATGTCCATATAATTCGATAACTCGATACACTTTGGATACCTTTATAAATTTCGATAACTCGGTTAATTTTGACAGCACCATATTTTTGGAAAGCTATCGCCAAAATTCGATAACTCGTTGCACGCTGTTAACACGATAAAATTCGATAAGCAGTGACAACTCGATAAACTTATATAAGTGTGAAATTTCGCTGCTTCGAAAATCCCATAAACTTCGCATCGCCAAAATAGGCAATTTCAGTAAATCAATAATTATCGATTACTCTGTAAGTTGAAAGAACTCGATGCATTACGCTAACTCGATAAATTTTGTTAACTCAAAAAATAATGATAATTCAATAAATATCGATAACTTGACAAATTTCTTTAACTCAAAAAATTTCGATAAGTTTCTGTTTCTATAAATTTCGACAACTCAATAAACATATGTAGATCTATTTTGGTAGGTGTTCTGAGACCCAAGATCTTATCTTCAAATGCTTCCAATTAGCCCGCTTAGTATATTAACGATCTTGAAAACAAAGTGTGGAGAACACTTTCGCACAGTCTCTGAAAATTCGCTCGGAGCATCGTAAACGCAAAAATGGCGCAAAACATGTTAACCGAAAACAAAACATCAGTTGCTTGCAAGCTGAGATTAAATATTAAGCAACCGATAACCGAGGCAGCATACCTAGAAGATGTAAAGAATTTGAAGCACCTCTGAAATTACTACGCGTAGTCGCACCATAGTGAAATGACTATATATGACACCTGTCACCTCTTTCCCTGCGCTACATTCGTATGCTAAATATGTATGCTAAATACTTTGGCGAAGTTCAGACATCATTAGGATTGCCAACGGGAAATTGAATTCGATTTTCGACATCCGGGTTTTCTATATTCTGTATAGTATCACGAGGGCTTATATTCAATACCCTCTATCTGCAGTTTTCACAAAAACTACTTTGTGATGTTAGAACCCATCTGGGACTTGCCTGTCATCAGTGATGTTAATTCTGACTTTGCAATTTAATAGTAAATTCTTCTGTCAAGCGTTATACAAGCTCAGCATTAATAAAACCGATGACAGTTAACTTTTTGGTGAATTTTTATATCAGAATCTCATTTTTGTGGAAAGTGCAGATAGAGGATATTGAATATAAATACATAAGCCCTCTCTCTATCAGTTAAGGCAAACCTTTTGGGGCCATTGTAGCTAGGGTTTTAATTATTATTATACATACATCATTTATGGGCAGCTTTTACCTAGGATGCAGGTTCCATGATATCTCTTTTTGCACACGCGTGGGCAATAAATTTAAATCAACAACAGGAAATGCGAAATATTTAAAAATTAGGACTTAGTGTTGAGGATAAAGTACGCAAGGAAATATGTTCATACCGCAGGTAAATTTGTAGCACATAGAGAATGAAGAAACCCTGTACATTATTCTAGTATATCTATGCGGACAGAATGCTAAGTGGTCTATCAAAAAGTAGAAAAGGCCATTAAATGTTTTAGCCGAGACTCCCTAAGCTCCACTCTAAACAATAACTATTTACACAGTTTATCATACTCCCAGCTTTTGGCTTTCAGACCAATGCAGCGCTTTTCAGGCTTAGCTAATGATGAGCAGTCTTAGGAAATATAATGCCAAAGACGGAGGTTGTATTAAGCACAAAGCCTCTCCAAAAGGGTTATAACTTATGAAACATAGTCCTGTGCACTTTTGATCGCCGTAAAATTGATAAAACCAGTGAATATTAGATGGTGCGACGAGCTCACTTGCAAAAGTACCAGACAAAACTTGTAGTTTCAAGCGCACAAGCGAGCTTTTATGGCTTCACAAGCAAAACATTAACATTGTAATGTCTGTAATTACAGGTAAACGCTAAGTTATGGCTGATCACAGTCAACATATTGTCGAGCTTTTACGATAAGCAAAAAATAAAATTTTTTCAAACTATTTTTTTTTTCTTTTTAATTTTGGGAATTTTCGTGGATGCCTTTGTTTTGCACCTAGAATAAAATAAAAGGGGGCCCCATGGTGTTGATATTTTAAGGACCACCCTAACATACCTTAGTAATAAATTTAAAAACAAAATTTTAAATCAATTTGCTCACCTGTGTATAAAATATTCGCAAAAAAAAAAATATCCGGTTTTATATGCTTCGTGTACAAATTGTTACATCCATAAAATGCCAAAAAATGCAGATGTCACAAAGTAATATTCACACCAACAATTACATTTGTACATACATATGTATGTTCTGCACACAAGTCCTTTATTGTTTTATACCATTTCTATATCACGCTTCATAAAAATTTGGCAATCGAAAATCTATTTCATGTATTTCATAAATATTTACACAGTTTTTGGTTGATACCGTTGGCACATAATTAAAAAAGTCGATTGTTTTGTTGAATCAATATGTCATGCCAATATTTATTTTGGTTGTCTGTTTACAAAACAAAAAAAAACACTATTTTATATCAGTATTTATTTAAGGCTTGTAAAAAATATTTATTTTCTCGTTTTTGAAACGTATTTTGATTTAACTTTTTCTGCACTGTTGCACATTGTAGTAATATTTTCTTTACTACACATTTGACTTGTAAAAATTCTGTGTGTTTTTGTAGTTTTTTTTATTTATTTTAATATTTAATTGTTATTCCATTTGCACGTGCAGTGCGTTTGCTTTTAGCATTTCGTACATAGTGGCTGTACTGTTTGTTTGTTTTCATAAATTTTGCAATTGCAGTTTGCAGCTATTTGCGATTATTTGTTTTTAGCACTTTAGTATCTTATTGCCTTTTTGTGTGTTTCCTTTAGTTAAAAATTTTTTTCACGCGCTTCAAAATTTTGTTGGCGAAATTTTTTTCGCCATGAACTTTTCGCTGTTTCTGTGCGTTGAAATTTTATTTTTCACTGTTTTCAGGGTTTTCCATTTTAACAATTTGCATTGCGTTGATATTTTGATTGATTTTTAACACTTTTTTATTTGTAGTTGTACACACATTTTGTGTTCACTTCACCGTACTTCACTTTTGTTGTTGTCTTTTTAGTTTGCTACTTGTTTTTAAACCATTTTTATTTGGCTATATCTTTGTTGCTTATTGTTTTGGTAACTGCGCTGTTAAAGGGTTAAAAAAGGGAAATTTTATTTTAATTGTGGAAATGCAGCAGGAAAACAAATGCAATTAGTTTTTATTGGCTTTTTCGGTTTTTGTAGTTTTCAGCTTGAAAAAGTTTATATGTGTAAAAAACTTTGTTCACGGCTGATTTGCATTATATAGGTATTTGAATGGATTTTGCGCTGATCTGTGCTGTGCCAGTTTGGCTGTTTCTATTATGTATGTATATATGTATGTATGTATGCGTAGACAAATCCCTAATCGTAATCACTTGGCGTCGGTTTTCAACCTTCTATATTGTGTTACTTTTTCGCATATGCATGCATCTTTGTTAATGTAATTTCTCAATAAAATTATTATAAAAAAAAAAAAAAAATTAATAAAAAAAAATATTTTACCTTCCAAAACATAAATAAATTTTATTATAAAAAAGCTATATTTTTATTTTTGTAATTTTTCAGGGTCTGTGTTTTTAATTTTGAAGTTCAATTCTCTTTAATTTTCGAAAAAAAAAAATCAAAAATAAAGTTTATTTTTCCAGTCTTCAGTGGGTTTCGGTTAATTTTAATGTTTTTTTTCCTAAATGTAATTTCGATTTTCTCACTAAAGTTGATAGTCAACAATTCATTCGGTTCAGTCACCAGACAAAATTAACAAAATTAATTATTTTTGATTTTTTATTGCATTTTTCACATCAACAACAACTACCACAAAATATTGGCGCTTAGAAAACACTTTTAGCTGTCGCACGCGCATTCAGCACATCACGATTCTCATTTGCAGATATGTAGATATAAATATTTTTTGTTTTTTTGCAAAAAAATTGTCACGAGATTAGCTATTTGATTTAGTGCTACTGTTTTGCTGACACTGCGCTTGTTCGTGTTTTTGTTTTTCTATAATTTAAAATATTTTGTTTTATTTTTGGTTTTTCTTTAATTGGAGCTTTACTAAACTGTTAGAAAAAAGATTAAGTATTTTATACACGTATGAACAATTTTTAAAATGTTGTATACCCAAGTGCAGTTTTTGTATTTGGAAGTAATTTTCTGAGCAAAAAATTTAGGGTTGCGTTGAAGTTTTTTTTTCTAATTAAGTTCTTCGGTTCAT